TATATATATTAAAAAAGAGTAAATATCTCCACATCCATCACATTGAGTTGAAGTGAATTTAAAAACAGGATGAGTGAATCTTCCCCCTTTTATTGGATTTTCATTGTGATTTGTGTCTGGACTCCAAGAGCAGCAAAGATGCTTGAGGACATCCCGGGCACATCCCCCTGGCTACTGGGGATGTGCCCGCGACTAAGGTACATGCCCTTGACCGGAATCGGACCTGACCCTTCAGACCGCAAGTCGACACTCTATCCCCTGAGCTAAACCAGTTTCGGCTGTCTTCCAACCTTTAGTAGAGACTTGCCATTAGAATCTGGGGTTTGAAGGGTTGTGGGGACTAAAGGAACACCCCGCTCCATCCTTGGGGTTGAGGAGGGGAAAAGGGAGCACGGCCTGTATGGTTAAGTGCAGAGGACAGCAGCAGAGTTATCTTGCCCAGCAGAGCAGGGTCCCCGGAGAGCCAGTGCTGGCCACAGAGGGCTCCTGGGTGAGGATTGGGAGGCCAAGTAGAGGAATGTGGACAGGGGTGTGGGGGTGTGGTGAGGTAGGGCAGCTGGGCCTGGTCATGGGACCTGCACCCTAGAGACCTCTCAGGACAAGCTGGGGTGAGAGGGTGCTTGGGGAAACACAGAAGTGACTAATGGAGGGGCTAAATTCCAGCCAGCACCAAGGGGGCATTTCCTGCAAACGTGACTCTACCGTCATTAGAGACCTGGACTTTGGGTGACGTAAAGTGTGTCGTTCCAGCTTGCCCTGGTTTGGAACAGATTGCATGTTATTTTACAGGGAATATTGGCATTATCCACGTACAGTAAACTATGCTTGATGCTTATCCAAGAACTATCGATTGTATGCAGCAGAGTTTATTTGGCCAAACCTCTGTAACTGGACTTTGAGGTAGTTTTTAATGTTAGGCCTTAATAAATGTCGAAACATAATACACCCAGACATAGGGTCAAAATCCCAAGGTTCAAATCCAAGTTTTAATACTGACTGGCTTGTGCAATGAGTTCACCTCTCTGGTCTCCTTTCTTCCTAGCATGGAAATAATAATAATAATAATAATAATAATAATAATAATGATATTTATTTATTTTTAAAAATATATTTTATTGATTTTATACAGAGAGGAGAAGAGAGGGATAGAGAGCTAGAAACGTTGATGAGAGAGAATCATCGACCAGCTGCCTCTTGCATACCCCCTGCCAGGGATGTGCCCGAAACCAATGTACATGCCCTTGACCAGAATTGAACTTGGGACCCCACAGTCCACAGACCGACGCTCTACCACTGAAACAAACTGGTTTCAATAATAATAATAATAATAATAAACAATACTTAATACAGAGGGTTATTATGCAGAATAAATGAGCCAGTGCCTGGCACAAAATTAGACCTCAATAAATATTAGCTATACATTACATTTTTTTCTTCTAATTATTTTCTTGGGGCAATTTTTGGAGGTGAAATTACTAGATCAAAGATCACTTTGCATAGCAATAACCGTGACAAAATTGCCCTCAATAAATTCTGTGTCAGTTTTTCCCACCCACAGCGTCTGATACTTGCTTTACACCTGCAAACAGAACTGTTCACAGGCTGACGCTCTACCCACTGAGCCAACCGGCTAGGGCGTGAGGTTTGTATTTTACATTTTGGTCTTATGATGCACTATAAATTTAAAGGTATTTTATGTGTTCCAGTTTGTTGCAGCTATTCTTTCTTATAATGTTCTCACTGTCAGCTCCTTCGGACCTCAATCCTCTCTGCAGCTTCCTTATCTTCTAGTCTGACAGATATTCACAGCTCATCCTCTCAGCTCATGACCCAAACTGGAAATCATTCATTTTTCAAGGAGCCCATTTTTCAAGGTTTACATTTCTTTTAAAAATGCCTGATTTTGTCCTTTGCATGTTTTTTATCCATATGAATTTGTAAGAACTTTTTACATATGAAGATATTAATCTTTTGTCTGTGCTGCCAGTTGTATGAAAACATATACATTCAATTATATACAGTATATAACACTTGAAAATGATAATAAAAGACTATGACACTGGTTTATGTATCTACATACTAGGCGTTTGAGGTTATGTTAGAGTGAACTCTACTTTTTAAAAATACGACAACCAAGTGTGCTGTAAGACAGTGTGCCTTGTTATTCCGGAATCAGTCTCATACACCTCGTGTTTACCGATTGCATCATTTGCTTTTGGGCGTGATTTCATCTTACTTTTTAAAAAAATTTTTTGTACAGTAATATGCTGTACAGGTTCGTAGTGGGAGTAACAGGCCGTACCACACAGCCTCGGCGGGTAGGAGGCTCCACATCCAGTTTGTGTGAGTGCACCAGGACTTTCGCAAACAGCAAAACCGCTGAGCGACGCATTCCTCAGAACGCATTCCTGTGTGAAATGGCATGTGATTGCGTTTAAAACGCTCCCCCTGTAGTTTACTGAATGTTGCTGTGCACCAACAAAGTTGGAAAGAGAAAACTTCATGCACAAAAAATGAAAAAGGGAAGAAAAAGATTGAACCTATTAGTAAAATAAACCGATCCAAAGCCCAAATGGTGGTCCCACAAGTCAAGCTCTCTATCTGGGTCTTAATGGGAATGCCTGCGCTTGGCTTGGAGGACAGCTGCTGAAGGGACATGTCATCTCACATCAATAAAACACGCCATCTCTCCTGGGGAGGCCACACATGGGCTGTGAGGGAGGAGGAGTCTTTGAGGCAAAGGGATGTGTCACAGAGGGGCCACTGTGGTCCCCAGAGACCTGGCCAGAGCTCCTTACAGGACCCTGGTGAGTGATGACACTCATGCAAGGGCTGTGAAGGCTTTCTTCAAAGGTAAGTTCTCGAGCTTTAGAACAACAAACCAGGAATTTGTGTGCTCAAATCCATGAGAGCAAATAAAGAATGCTTTTTATGAGCATATAGTTTTCATTTTATTAGGAAATTTGGTTGACATTATGTGACCACTAAGAACACATACACACACACAAAGGGGAAAACGATGCATGTGGACAGGGAAACACAGAAGAAAAACAGCTGACAAACAGTGAGCATAGCCCTCAAACCCAACATTAGGAATCGGGATTTCATGTGGCTGAGTTGAGCAATTTGCACAATAACTCGGGTGCTGGGGTGAGCTGATATCCTTTCCGTGAGATGGTGCTTAATAGTTTGAAAACTTTTCAATGAAAAACTTCAAAGAAAGACAGGAAGAGAGCCCAGGACCATGAGGGAGGGGGAGGGGAAGAGCAAGAGGATGGACAGGAGGGCAGTCTTACCAACAGATTGGGTACCACCCGCACCTGCAGACTGGCCACCTAGCAGCAGCATTGCTTCTGACAACAGCACTTACACTGGCAGCACTTCTGCTGACAGCAGCCCTTCCCACAGCCACAGCCACAGGAGCCACAGCCACAGGAGCCACAGCCACAGGAGCGGCGGCAGCAGCAGACCACGGGGACGCTGCAGCAGCCCCCACAGCAGCCACAGCAGCAGGGGCAGCAGCTGGAGCAGCAGCCGACCCGGTAGCACCTGCAGCTGGTGCAGCCACCACAGCTACCACCACAGCCACCACAGCCGCCACCACAGCCGCCACAGCCACAGCCACCACCACAGCCGCCACAGCCACCACAACGGCCACCACAGCCACAGCACCCCATGGTGTCAGTAGAGAGGATTCAGGAGAGGTGAGGAGGGAGACTCAGGAGGTGAGGGAGGTCTGATACCCACTCTGCTGGGGGAGCCCTTATATATCACCTCTCCTTAGTGTTTAGCCCGATTTCCTTGGAGGGATCTCACAAGACCTTTTATTTACTTCCTTCTTGAGTCCTTTTGCTATGATAACATTGCTATTTTTAATGCTGCAGCCTCCTTGGAAAGCCTCAAGTTTTCTGTTGTGAATGGAGCAGTTGTGTGTGGTATCTGTAGTCCAGAAGTAGAACAGCGAATTGCCACAGGGTAGGGAAAAAGTCGTCCCAGGAGCCTGAAAATGATGTCTGTTGTGCCGGACATGGTCTGCCATGGACAGTTTGTGTCTCCCCTGCGGCCAGCTTCTCCAGGGGGCCGGACAGTGGAGATGGAGGGCCAGACACACCTGCCAGCCTTCTGCTGGATGAGGTGAGCCTATGAGGGAGATGCCAGGTGTGAATCCAGGGACACCAACACTGAGGGGAAAAGGCAGGCCCGTCCAAACCAGGTCGTCTCTGACCCAGAAGTTTAAGTCTCAAGAGAGGCTGTGGTGTTGTCTGCTGCATGAGGGAAGGGAGGGCAGGTAGGGTCAGCCACACAGAGACGGTCACTTCAAGTAAACAGCCCTCTGGCCGTGGTCGGCTTTTACTAACATTTAGAGATGGTTAGTCTTTCTCTTTTGAACCTGTTTTGTCACTGCTTTTTCCTTTCAAGGGCATTTTTGTAACTTAGGAGTGTGTAATGAACCCCAGTGGAGAGAAAACAATATTTTTTTCTAACCTGTGATGATTAAAAAATAAATGCAGAAACAGAGGGGTTTTACCTGGCTCTACATTCAGACTTTCGTGGTTATAAAAAATAAACATTATCCTTCAACATTTTAGACATTTATTTAACTTGACAGACATCTATTGAATGCTTACAAAGAGCCAGGCACCATTCTAGGTCCTGGAGCAACACACACACACACACACACACACACACACACACACACACACACACTTGTACTTGTGGGCTCGAAACTCAGAAGTGTGTTCTAATCCAAGTTTAGATTTAAGAATTGAGTCAAGGTTAAGATTAACAGTATTATCTGGCAAAGACTCAAACAAGGAAGGATATAAGAGGCCTCGTGAGGTCTTTTATGGGAAGCAGGATAAACAACAAGACGCTGACTGTATTCCGGGCTGGGCTCCTGGAGGTGGTATATAAAGGCTCCCCCAGGAGAAGGGGCACAACACCTCCTTCACCTCCTGAGTCTCTCTCCTCATCTCTTCTGAATCCTCTCTACTGACACCATGGGGTGCTGTGGTTGTGGTGGCTGCGGTGGTGGCTGCGGTGGCTGTGGTGGCTGCGGTGGCTGTGGTGGCTGCGGTGGTGGCTGTGGTGGTGGCTGTGGTGGCTGCACCAGCTGCAGGTGCTACCGGGTTGGCTGCTGCTCCAGCTGCTGCCCCTGCTGCCGTGGCTGCTGTGGGGGCTGCTGCAGCGTCCCTGTGGTCTGCTGCTGCCGTCGCTCCTGTGGCTGTGGCTCCTGTGGCTGTGGCTCCTGTGGCTGTGGCTGTGGCTGTGGGAAGGGTTGTTGTCAGCAGAAGTGTTGCTGCAAGAGGCAATGCTGCTGCTAGGTGGCTGGGCCAGCCTCCAGGCAGGTGCTCCTGGGTGTCCTCTTGCTCCATTGCTAGGGCTTCCCTTTGTCCATCTGTTCCAGGCCGACTTCCTGTCACATAGCTTTGCGGCACTGTCCTCCTTGGTTCTGAATTTTAGTAACTTTTTCTGTTTTTAAGGTAGTCCCATGGACATTTTATACAATGACACCTAAGGAGAAAGATGGAGAACATATTAATCATCGAGCTCAGCAAAATGTGGTAATGATTTCTCCTGTGTTTTCTTCTTTCAATTCTTTCCTATCTATGTACTAAGTCTTGTCTGTACCACAGATGGCTCGTCCTTTCTGTGGCCATAGAGTCTTTCGAGATGGTCTCTTAAAAATCTCCTAATAAAATGCAAAAATAAACCCTGAGCAATTTCCCTTGTGTTTTTCTTAGAACTATTTTTATTAAACCAACGTTAATTATGGTCTCCCACGGGAAGGGGCGGCAAAGGAGATACAGATAATTATGCCCTGGTATGATTTACAATCCAGCCCCACATAACCATGAACACAGGTTGGAATGATAATAAACATGTCAAAAGGCCTTGTGCCACAACAGGAGGGACTCATAGTGGTTGGGTGGGGACTGGGTGTAAAGGGTGAAATAACTTCAAGAAAGAGATGACATTTTGGGGGTTGGGTTGAAGAATTAGTAAGGTTCTGACACATGGAGATAATTGGGGACAGATATTCAAGAAGAAGGAAGATGGTACTTGGGGATGGGGAGGTAATCAGTTCTGAGACTTGGGACTCAGGAAGGAATGAGTGCCTCCGAGAAGAGATAGAGATACAACAAGAAGGTGGCCCTCTGCAGACCGGGAAGAGAGCCCTCTCCAGACCCAAGCTTGACGGCAGCCTGATCTCAGTCCTCCAGCCTCCAGAACTGTGTAAACATGCATCTTCATTGTCGAAGCTTCCCAGGGAAGGGTCTTTTGTTAGGGCAGCCTGAGCTAACTAACACAGTGATGTAACAATGCATAGCGACTTCTGCTCTTTTTTTCCTGAGAAACTTGAGATACTGCACAAGGTGACCCATTAAAAAATTTATAGTAAACAATATAACCACTAGGTGAGAAACTGACAATCTCCCGTAAGGCATTTGCTTCACTCTATAAGGTGTAGTGGTAAAGGGAGTTGATAACCTTAAAAAGTGGTCCAATAAACTATATGTTACAGTCATTCACAAATAATTCTGGCCCTATCCATGAAATATTTATTCTCTTTCATTGACATGGGCATCTTGGGAACAATCAGGACTACTTATTTTGCTATATTGGCTAATCTTGAAAGATCTAGGCTTAAAAAAAATTGTGTTTTTGATCTATTTATCTAATCTTGATCTTTCACATTTGTTTCTAAGAGGAATATTTGGATTCAGATTGTACACTGAAAACATGCTTTGTATGAATCACAGGGCTTTGGTATACATTATGATAGGCTAATAAATATTGTTAGAGTGAGTAGATGCTGTATATATATATATTTATATATATAACCTTCCTGTTATATATGTTTACATGTTTTTATATTTATCATAGTTTATTTATGTCATATTTATTCATGTATATACATTATGCATATGTTATATATACACACATATCAGGTTAGTGTATTATATGTTATTTATAATGTTTACACATCTATATATGTATATACATATATATGTTTGTAGATACATATGAGAATGTATATTAGCTATACATTCATGTATATGTTCTCAGTGTCTGTGAATTTTATGACTCAATGGAAGATTCCCCTTTTCATTTATTTGTAAACCTGGTCATTTGTGGTGCATATGGTCTCAAGTACAGTAGTTGCTGTATATCATAGGATGCATAAATTATATTTCAGATCTTCCTAATTTTATTATTAGATGTTGATTTTGATTCTAGTTTGGGGCTTTCTTAATACTGTGTGTTCTGTCCCAACTATTTCCCCTCTATGTATTTACAATAATGACATATGTCATGGACCGAATTGTGTTCCTTCAAAGTTTACACGTTGAAGTTCTAACCCAGTGTGATTATATTTGAACGTAGCACCCTTCATCTCCTCTGATTCCATTTCTTCCCCACAGATGGCGGTTTTTGTCATCTTTGCCGTTAAATACATCCTCGTCATTTGCACATTCAGGAACACATAGATGTGCCCGCACTTGCTGTACCTCCCAGTGATGCTCTCTCATGAGGGGTAGTGGCTGGAGTCCGAGACAGGGACCTCTCAGGGTTAGTCTGAAGCCGTTGGTGAAGAAATAGAGGTAGACCTTGGTGCCTCACTCCTGCCCACACCCGTGCCTTGTGTTGGTGCTGATGGTGGTGGGAGGGCTCATGCCTTCACATGGGTCCAGTGATGTAAGTGTTCCCTTTCTTTTTCAGAAACTGCTTCCAGGAACTATTGGATAGCAGGAATCAGTTATTAAAAGGTGTGTGAAATTTTTAATGGTACAGCCCCAGACACATCTTCATTGAACATTTTACTCATAACTGGGCACCGTCTGCCTCTGAAGAAATGTCAATAATGGTTATTAGTGGTTGCCAGAGCACTTTTCTGAATTTCTGCACAAGTTCTGGCCCAGAGAGGAAAGCTGGCTGTGTAGACAGCACAAAGAATGTTGATTTGCTCAACTAACAATTATGCAAAAGAAGGTTAATGGCACACTAGATCATCATCCAGCGTTTCTGTGCTGACACTCTGGCACAAATCACAGGAGAGTAAAGGGCATCTGATCCAGGAAAGGGCAAAGTTTAATAATCGTTCCAATCTACCTTGATATCCATTTCCCCAGGCTCTGTTGTGACAGTAGGGAGAATTGCTTCCTAAATGAGTAACACAGTTGATAACTGCTCTTCTTTGTCTTCAAAAGAGCATGAGGTAGATTGCTGAAAATGTACAAATGTGTGTTTGTATGTACTTTTTCAATAAAGTAAATGCCAGGTGTGGATAAATATGCTTGTCCCCCTACTAGACCATGGCTTTTGGGCTTTCCTGCAAGGGGTGAATTGAACATTAAGTGCAAAAAGAGAAAATCAATTCATACTTGGAGGACAGGGAAGGATTAGATTAAGAAAGAACATAGGTGGGGTCCTCAGACAATATAGCATTACAAAGAATGCTCACATCTCTACCTACCATTCTGTCTGTGTAAATTTTATCCTGCAAAAGTAGATCATGATAGTGGAGAAATTTAAACAGTGCAGAACTAGGCAAAATAAAAAGTGGAAGTCCTCCAGGAATCTCATCCCCTAAACAAACACTTTGACACTTGGTGGCTACACTACCGTCCCCCGATGTATATACTAATGTATTGATAACATTTGCAAAATGAGACAACCTTCTACATCCTTTTGTGAAACTTGCTTTTTTCCATTTGTTAGTACAACATGCCATCTCTCTGGTGTCCCAATATCTTTTAGGATTCTTGCAAAGTTTCCCACCTTATAAATGTACCATAATACATATTTAAAAAAAGCTTTGTCACCATTAATGGGCATATAGGTTGTGTCCAATGTTCTGTTGTTGTAAACACTATTGCAATGAGAATCCTTGAACATATGAACATATGGATTCTACCAGAAACTGACCTTAAAGAAAAGAAAAGACCATTTTACTGAGTCGAGGTTGTCAGCAGAAGCAGAACTCTGGTATCACAAATGTGCCCCTGGAGGTCTCTGTATTGTTGAGAAGGAACTTCGAAAACTTACATCACATAGCTCTAACTTATCTTATTAATTTCTTCTTCTATTATTATTGGAATCTGAGTAGAGAGAATGAAACAATACACATGAAATTATGACAAAGTTTTCTATCTGTAATTAATTAGTTATTTCTCCTGTGAGCTAGAAAAGGATATAGCTGCTGATTTACCTTATTTGGAGTAATAGGACAGAATGCTTCTCTTAATAAGTAAAATGTGAGAAAGAGCAATGGTCCTAGAAGCTTTTTTTCCCCCCCATGTAACCCTAACTTTCATCGTGTGCTTGGATTCAGAACCACCACAAAGGGTTTTCTTTCAACCCTATTAACTTGATTTCAGGAAGTTAAGCTCTAACCTGTAACTGCTGGCAATGCAGCCAAGGAATGCCTTGTGTTTGTTGGTCTCTTTATGCTTTAAACAATTTTTTCAGAACCATAAGTAGGTTAGTCTATGCCCTTAAAAGCAAATTAATATTACCTACAGAATAGACTTCGTTTAGATAAAAAACAAACACACACACACACACACAAAAAAACAGCCATATAAATTCCCACCAGAAGAAGCTCCCTAGAGATTTAAATCTAGTCACCGTATTAGATTCAGTTACCTGGACTCTTTTGTAGTGTTTGCATATCTGGAAACTGTTTGTCAGGTGTGGCCCAGGGGCCCTTTGCTTTGCTTTCTCTTTAGGGTCTAGTTAAAGGCAGGTTCATGGCTCTGCTCTGGGCTTAAGTGATCAGAATCCTGGCATCTGCTCCCAGGAATCTACATACTCAACGAGAGAGGAAGACATTTCTCATTCTGCCCAAATTTTATAGAATTCATGGACCTATCTACACATGTTTTTGGGGTCTTCATTGTGCCTGGCATATGATATGCATTAGTGGGAGTGGTAGGCAGAATAATGGCCCCCCAAAATGTCCACTTTCTAATCCACAGGCCTATGACTGTTACCTTATATGAATAAAAAAGCTTTGCAGCTTGATTAAATTAAGTCTTTTTGAGATGGTGCCATATTCTGGAATATCCGATCTGGCCCATTGTAATCTTAAAGGTCCATATGAGAGGGAGGAGAGTCAAGGTCAGGGTCCGAAAAGATGTGACAATGGAAGCAGAAGCCAGAATGATGTGATTGTGGAAATGGGCCACGGAATAGGACTGCAGGTCTCTAGAAGCCAGAAAAGGCAGAACGCAGATTCTAACCTAGAGATCAGGAGAGAGATGTCCTTGATACACCTTGACGTCTCCCAGTGAAACCCATTTTAAACTTTGAACCTTCA